CCAGAGAGACAGCGCCAAGCTGACGGGGGGAGTGGGAAGGAAGCGGAGGTATAGGTGGAGAAAGACAGGGAGACGCCGGGAGTGGCAGGGTCCGTGGGAGGCAGGGAAACAGGAGCCCGGTGAGTCAGCCTGGTGGGGTTCTTTGAAACTCAGCAGGGAAGCACAGGCAGGGCAGGTTCTGCTGCAGCCTGGGGAGCCATTTTCCCCCAGCTGGCACCTTCTCCATCTCTCCCTGCTCAGTCAAGGAAAGCAGATCACCCTCCAAACTGGGGCAGCTTGTGGAGCTGCTATTCTCTCCTTCCAAGGTAATGCTGGCGTGGAGCCACTCTGTCTCCATCCACTGTGGTGAAGTGGTTCCTCATCTAAGCAGGAGAGCTGCCAAAACCTGGCTTGGAAGCACAGCTTTCCAGTGGTCGGGCTTGGCCCCAAGGCGGCAGCACAGAGGGTGTTGCGCAGGCATGACCAGGGGCAGTAGCTTTGCTCTGTCAGTCTGTGCCACCCCCAGCAATGCTCACATCCCCCAGACCTCCTGGAGATGCCGTGCTTTGGATGGGAACCTGCTCTCAAAGACAACGGCAACCCCTCCAGCAAGGCATGATGTGTGTTTGCAGGCGTCTGCTGAAACCTATGAGTCATGCTGATGCTGCAGGCATGCCATGGGGTGCAGGGCGGGCTGGACAGGAGCGTCTCCAGGAGCGTGTTGCCTCTTCACAGGCAGATGCTGAGCTGCAGCACCAAGGGCAGCCATGTAGGTGGAAGGAAAGCTGGGGCTGGAAACAGCATGTACCCCAGGTGAAGGTTTCTTCTAGAGCAGGGGGACATTTCCTCTGTGCTTTTCTGTGGGCTTTTAAGATATGGTCCTCAGAGGTCCCCACAATCCTTCTTGGAAGACCCTATGACATGCTCGACCTCCACTGGATAATCCAGGGAGGCAGCAGGTTGGGAAAGGCTAGGAAAGAGATACTTCCTTCTGTGAACTTTCTCTCTGTAATGTGGCTGGGATGCAAACCCAGGGCTCCTGGTGGTCTTGTGGTGCCCATTCCTGGGTGCTGCAAGGACCTCCATGCTCAGCATCCCACCTCGGATGGAGAAATGCAGAGCATTTCAAGGAAGGGGTGTCACACCAGGGTGTTTCCTGCAGAGAACTGGGCAAAGTTTTGACACCCAGCCTCCTCTTCATGTCTCATAAATTATCTCTTAAGAGCAGCATGAGGGTTCACCAGCCAAGGGGGTGTCAGCTGGGTGTTTGAGTGACTTGCAGCAGCCCAGATGTCCCAGCCCTGGTGTTTCAAGAACATCACAGAACACAGACAATAAAGGTTCATCTTCCCAAGGACGCGAAGCTGTGGCCTTTCTTTCATGGTCAGTAAACTTGTATAAATACCCCCCAACCTGAGTTCTGGTGGGAGCCAGAAACCGAAGGTTACACTGTTGCATTGCCAGGCTCCTGCACCAGCCAGGGTCTCATTTCTGTCTGACCTCGTTTGGATCAAAATCATGAGAAATCAACAGAAATAGGGCCCTGGGTGACTACTGTCAGCCTTGTGGGCAGAGTATCCCCAGCCCCTGCAGGTGTACCTGCTGGAGTCCCTCCACTTCTGCGAAGGAGGAGTGATGGCTGGGGGCAAGATCCCACTGGGGGTTGAGCGTGAACGTCCCTTTGCTGGATTCCATGCTCTAAGACATCACCATGGCATTGCTGAGGGACTGTGCCTTTCAACAGTGTTTGTCTCTGCTGGGCTGTGCAATCAAACCCACGTCCCTGCCCAGGCCATGTCCCTCTGCAGCTGTATCATGCTGATCATGATGAAAAGTAGCCCAGGCAAGAAGAAGAAAGGACAGGGCTTCTCAGGACCACAGGTAAAATATTCATTACACCTGTTTTACTGAACATCTCTCCTCTGCTCTTCTCAAGCCTCCTTCCCTTGCTCCCTGCACCCAGGTCCTTGCCCCCAAGTGTGCTTTCCCCACTTCTTTCTAGGTACCATATCAATAGGGGTGAAGCTGGCAGCGAGATGAGGTTCTCCAGAAGGGACAAGTCCCCCTGCTCCTCGCACATGGCCATCAATTCAATCTCCCCACAGGGTTAGCTTGGGAAGGAGCAGGGTTTGATTGTGACTGCAACACATGGCTGATTCATTGTTTGACTCCATCTCTCCCTCCTCATTCGCAAATTAGTTGAGTGAAATGAAATACATTTTAGTAGTCAAATCTGTAAGGGGGGGGGTCCCATTGTGCTTTGACTCTACAGGGCATTCTGTACGCTTAATTTGATTTACACCCAAAATGTTAATTTAATGTACTGAATTTTCTCCCATACCCAAGTAATGCTGAAAATTAAACAAGATCCTATAGAAATCTTTGTGTACCATTATCTCATTAGTGTCATTATTTATTGAGTGATTACAGTGCTTGGGCTCTACGTGCAACATCACTTCAGTGGGTGTATGGAGAAGGACACCAGCAGCCCACAGACACAGACGTGTCTGTGGGCTGCCTTGCCAAAGACAGTGTGGCCCCAAGGATTCCGCTTCATGCTGCTGCATGTGGCTTCCTGCAATAGTTTTGGTGGGGCTGTGCTGTGAGCATGCTCCCCAGGCTCTTCCAGGTTAGAAAATACCAAGGAATGGTACTTTTAGGAAAGGCAGTATGGTTTTCTTATGGGCTCTGGCCAAGCAAAAACAAGGCTTGGTCAACAGTCTGTATTTCTACCTGCTAGCTCAGGGGAAAGGCAGCCTACCACCACTGAGATGCTCTACTTCACGTAGCTGATGTCTCTCCATCCAGCTCTTCTTGCCTTGCCAGAGGCTGCAGGACTTTCTCCACTCTGTGTCTACAGTGGTGGTGGGCACACCTCAGCACTGACCACTCATGTCAAGGCTCCAGAGCTCATAATAATAATTTAGTTCCTGATTCAGCTGTGCTTGTGAGTGCACATCTGAATTGTAAGTGAAGCGTGTCCTCCAGAACCTCATTAAATAGGAACCTCAAAGCAGGATTTGAGAAAGCCCAGATGACAGTGAAGTTGTCTCTTGGTTTGGGAGCATTGTGATTAATGTAATTTACTACCTCTTTTGGCTTAAAAGACAAGGAATCATTAAAATAAAAGAAATTTCAAGTTGAAAGCATTGCAAAAAATCAATTAAACCCCACATAGCTGCATTTTGTCCTGGAGCAAAATCTCAGACATAACAGAGAAATTACACAGCCTTAAAGAGAAAGAAAGAGAAGGTTTTACTTGTGGTATTGCTGAGGTACTGCCTGAAGGCATGCTGAGGTGGCTTCTTACTGGTACCTGCAGAGACTGTAACTTCCTGCAGGAGTAGGGGCAGCAAGTAAGTGCCCCCAGTCCTTGCCGTCACTCCCAGGGCCTATCTCGTGGGTCAGCGGTCAGGGCTTAAAAGCCTTTCTAGAGGACAAAGTGCTGAGTGGTGGGGTAACTCCTCTGCTGGGATAAAGATGTCTGTGCCTGTGTGTTGCTCAATTACACCTTATCAAAAGAGTGGGTAGGGCTGCTGTGGCTCATGGCTGAGATTTCCTGGCTGGAAATACCAATTGCTGGAGGAGATCTCTGACAATGTGTCAGCTGATGCGGCACTCGGGGCTGGAGCCGGCACTTCTCCATCTCTAGCGGTCCAGCCAGTCCCACACCCCCATGTCTCAGACCCATACAGGAGCTCACACCTCCTTGCCCCTGGAGCCCAAAAGAGTAATGGGGATCTGAATCAAGATGAAGTCTTTCACTTGGCTTCGACATTTGAAGGTGTGTCCTTTCCAGAGGCTCCAGGTCCAGCCCCTGAAGTTAAACTTTTGTCTTGAGGAAACAAACGGTGAAACTCCCATCAATTCCCCCTGGCCTGTGCTTTGCCCTTAGGGAGGAGAGCCGAAACCTTAGAGAAGAGTGACCAAGTTTGAAAGGCCTCTTCCTTCATGTGGGGAAACAGCTCTTGGTGCTCAGTCCCACCAGCTTCAACTGCTCCATCTCTGTGCTGGCTTTGCTGCAAAGATGTGCTTGGGGAGGAAGGCACCAAGTGTGTTTCCACTGCATTTAATTAAAAAGCAGATTGAATATTAGGCAGGAGAAGGTACTCCTGTTAAATACCCAAGGCCACGCCAGGCATAGGATTTGCTACACTTGCAGACTTTTCAGTGCAGTTTTGTGGGTTTTCTTCTGCTTCTTTTGCTTCCTTCCCCAACCCCCAGCCTCTTATCTTTATTTCATTCCCAATTTGGGAAGAGGGGTAGAGGACAAGAGGCAAATAAAAAAACAAGGAGTGGGGGGAGAGGAAAGGCTGTGAGACATTTTTAATTTTAAATCAATGACTGAAAAAGAATAAAACTTTTTTTTAACAGAAGAAGGGCTTGTCATTAAGAAAAATAGTAACAACTTTCTCTTCCGGCTGCTGCCCCGGGGACCTCTTCCCCGGCGCCTTCGGGAGTCTTCCCCTCGACGGGCTGTCCCGGGGGCTCTCAGCGCAGCCCCCCGTGGACGGCGGGACCCGCACCCGATAGTGGTGAGCACTCTAGGTTGCCCGCGGCATCCCAGTGCGGGAGGCGGGCAGTGGGTCCGACCCCATGGGGTCCCCGCCGGCGGGGTGGCGGGCAAGCGGCAGCGGCGGGGCTCCCCTCCTCGTGTGTTTGTGTTTTTTTTAATTTTCAGACGTTAAATTCTTTTGCAAACATTCATGCCTTAGGAAGGGCTGGAACAAAGCTCAGCTGCTCCAACCGGTCGGACAGGTAAGCAGACTTGTTGACACCGTTATGTTTGCAGCACGCATGCTCCTTCCCAAGTTTCCTGGTGCATTTTTCTATTCCACCTTATGAAACTTTCCTCCCCCCCCCTCCCCTCTCCTCCCCTCCCCTTCCCCTCCCCGTGCCTCGGCGGCTCTGCCCGGTGCGTGCGGTCCCGCTCCCTCGGACGGCAGCGCAGCGCCCGCGCCCTGCCGGGCTGCGGGCGGGCGGCGAGGTGAAGCCGCCGCTTCGCTCCGTGCCCGGCCGTGCCCCTTGCCCTCACTATGCCCAGAGCCTTCTTGGTGAAGCGCCGGAGCCTGCAGCCGGCAGTGCGCAGCTGGGATGGGCTGCCCGACGAGGAGAGAGCCGACACCTACATCCCAGGTACGGCGCCGGCGGGCTGCCTGCCCGCACCCGTCGCCACCAGGAGGGACGGAGGGAGTGGGGTCGCGCCAGCCCCCGCGGGCTGCGGACGGGTAGAGTTGGGGAGAGGGCTTTGCTGGGCCGAGGGAGTCCCGAAGGAGCGGGCGGGCGGTGGCTTGGAGAGAACTGTACTAAACGCGGAGAGGGGGGGAAGTGGGCAACACTTGGGGGAAAACTCCCCTCCCATCGGCAGGGGTCCTGCCCTCGCCGGGAGATGCCGCCCCTATGACTGGCACCGTCTCCAACTCCGGGGATGGCGGGGCGGGGGAATGTGTGTGTGCCCGGGAAAGTGGGAAACTTCGTTTGCATGAGAAAGGTGGCGGGGGGAGGACAAGGACGGACCCAGGGCGGCGGGGGTGATGTACTCTAGGCCTCCTCCTCCTGCCCTTGTCCGGGGTATAACGGGAAGGCGGCGGAGCTGGCTTGTTTGAACTTTGGGACCGTTCGTGTTTGAGTTTCCGATTGCAGCGTGAGCCTGGGATCCTCCCCCGCCGCCCGCGGGCCCGCCCGCAGGTTAAACACCGGGGCCCGGCGGCTCCCGCCTTCTGCGTCCCGTCCCCTGCCCCTGGCTCCGTGGTCCCCCCTCTTTATCGTGTCCTCACCTCGCTGCAGGGGGAATCGGCTGCGTGATGCTGGGCTATGAGGACAGCTGCAGCCTGGAGAGCAGCGGGAGCAGCGGGACACGGGATGCTGAGCCCAGCGACCCCCCGACGCCCCAGCCTGCCTGCGGCGACCTGGGCATGGCCAAAGGGATGCTGCTGGACCTGGCCGTCAAACGCCCCGTGGTCAGGTCGAAAATCAAGGTAACCTCCCGCACCCCAACCATCTTACCACCCGTGATGGGGTGACCACGGTTCAAGGTCAAGGCTTGGCTGCTGATCGGGGACACCAGGTGCCAGCAGTCCCTTGGGCTGTCTCTGCAAGAGATGACAGCAAGAGGTCTGTGAACATGCTGGCCATAGGATGGCAGCTGCAGGGCAAGCTTCATAAGCGATATACTGTAATCTTCCAGTGCCCTTTGCCTTCTCTTATCCTTGCCTGGGACATGCTGCCCCTGACCTGCTTGGCTCGGGTCCCGCAGGAGCTCTGAACCCAGCCAGGAAGGACCAGCCCTGGCAGCTAGGAGTCATGCCCCATGGTGCGTGGGTGGATCTCATTCCTTAACGTGGGGCCTCCTTAAAGACTGCCTTCTAGGTTGTAGTCAAGCCTTCACCAAGGGGGGCTGGGGTGAAGCTTCATGCTGCTCCCCTACCCTCTTAACTTATCAAAATAGCAGCTAGTTAAAGGTTCTCCTCTGAAGCTGTGAAAGGCTGTTTCCACCTTGAGGACGACTGGCGGCTTAGGGTGAAATGAAGCAATTATTTGTCCACTGACTTTGTTGAAGAGCCCCTCTGCTGCAAGGGCAGGATCTCTGGGTGTCCCTCAGACAGAACCAGGAGAACAGAGCCGTGATTTCCCTCCCAAGGCTGAGAAGGCAAATTACTCATGGTGCCTCAGGTTCCCATGGTACCGAGAACTTAACACTGACCTCCCAAACAGCACTGAACATCCAGGGTCCCCTCAGCAGTAGTGGAGGCAGGCCAACCCAGCCTAGGAAGGAGATGTGTTCACCGCTGGTAGTTAACGCCTCCTTAAACCCTGGCTATTGCTTCACTGGACAGAGCTGTAAAAATTCCCATTGTCTCTGTGGGATGACAGACTTTCAATCATCATATTCTCATGATTAACATTAGGTTTTCACCCTGGTTATGTGCAGCTGCTTGAGGAGGAGTTATACCCCTGTTGCCCAACAGATTCTTCCCAGATGGCTCCTCCTCTAGTTTCACACCTCATGGTTTCACAGCTGCGTTTTTTACAATTTCAAGTAGCGCTGCTTCAGTAGTAAGCAAAGGAGGAGGACTAGGAAAAATAATTGGCTCTTCAGGAAAAAAAAAACAAAAAAATGTATTCCTGTCTTCGTGAAGAGCTTGCCCTGCTGCTGTTTGATTTTAACCTACTCTGTATAATTTAACTTGGGCTACTAGTAACTGTCACAGCATTCAACCCATTTCAGCAGAGTTGGGTTTTTCTCAGAGTTTCACAGAAACTCCCCAAAAGCACCATGACGGCTGATGGATGTGTGTGCATGGTGCTGCCTGCTCTGCTGGCTTTCTCACATCCCGAGTGTCTATCAGTGAGCATGTCTCTATGTTCTCCCATGAATGGGTAAACTAGCAGTGAAGTATTTGCAACTTCCAGAAATTGAGCTTTCCCTCTGAGGAAAGGTCTTCCCCAGAGCTGAATCATCAATGTCTCCCTTCGTCAAGTTAGGTCATGGTGTTGGCAAAATACTTTTGGTGCTAGGAGTGGGAATGAGATTACCCCTTAATGTCACTCTGCTGTTAATTAACGAGCCAGGGAGACCAATGGAAGGAAATTAGTGCCATTGTTTCAGTCTCTATTGAGTTAGCACAAGGTGCCTTAGGTTTATATCTCCAACCCACTCTTTTTATCACTGCTGGGACCCATAGCAGCTGGAAGCATGATTAGCAAAGGCATCGCATAATACAACTTTCTCATACCTTGGAGGACTTCCCATCTCCATCCAGGATATTAGCTGAGTGCAGGAGCAAACATACAGGCGGCCCCACGGGAAGGTGCTTGTAGCCTAAGCCCTTGTGCTTATGGATGTGACTGGACAAAGGTTGTTGCTTCTGGAAGCCCACTACATAGGCTTTGTTTTAATCACGGATTCCAAGCTGGTGAGCGTTGCATCAGTCCCACTGCACATTAAATACCCCACTTGATTGCAAGTAAAATATGAATGTTTCACCCAGCAGGAATCTCCTGAATGCTTTCGCTTTTCATTTTTAATATATCCCAAGATTTTTTTTAATGCCACAACAAGCCATCCCTCCTTATTTTGGTTTTTTTCTTCTGCTGGTCTTCTGTTGTTCATCTCGATGCCCACTCACCCAGTCATCTTCCATTCCTCAGTTTACCACTGGCACCTGTAATGATGCTGCACTGCATAGCTGCGAGCTGTGTGGCAAAGGCTTTCGCTTGCAGCGAATGCTCAACCGTCACATCAAGTGCCACAGCCAAGTGAAGAGACACTTGTGCACCTTCTGTGGAAAAGGCTTCAATGACACCTTTGATCTGAAAAGACATGTCCGGACCCATACTGGTGAGAATGCATTCCCTGGGGACTCACGGGAGGCTCTGAGGAGTAGGAGGTGGGAGGAGGGGTGAGGTGGAATAAGGACAAGGAGAGGGTGAGGGTAAGCTATCAAGACCATGATACAAAGCCCAGGTTAACAACGTTTGCAAAAAATAGTGGAGTTGCAGTGGAGGAAAGGGGAAGACATGAGTGTGGACAGAGAAAAATCCTGGGAATGATGAAATCTGAGAACAACTAGTGAAATCTTTGTGAAGTAGTGCGGGTGTACGCCTGACATCCAGACTCAATGCAGACACAGCCACATGCTGCAATGCCTGGGTCAGCAAGATTGGGATAACCCACTGAGGATAACCTGCCTGGTATAACCCACCTGGGATAGCAAATCTCCACACATTATTGTGAGACCAGTGCACAAAGACAAGCAGAGGCAAGAGGTGGATGAAAGTGCTTTGCCCTCTAGAGGCAGCGAGCAGCAGTTTCCTGTTGTTTTTTTTTTTTGCTGTTGAGAACTTTCCCCACTGGCTATTCCACAGGATGGGGTTGTGGCTTGCTTTTGGCGCTGTCTGGAGAAACCAGAGTGTTGTTCATGCTGTGCCTGCAGCTTCTTTAGGGAAACTAGGCAACACACCTGACTTCTGCTAACCCTACATGCTGCATCCCTTCCTGATTTGGGCTACCAGCTCCTCCAACTCCCTTTTGGAGCTGTTTCCTTCTGCATGTCATGCTGTCCAGATCACATTGACCACTGGCCTAAACCATTTTTATTCACTTGTCATGTGGGGTCACAGCATGCATTAAAAATCAGGAGCAGTGGGTTGAAAATCACCTGACAGCGGTTCCTGCTCTTGCTCTTGTATTGCTCTCTCAGGCTGGAGGGATATGCTTTCCTGTGGCCACTCTGCTGTGGATTGAGCTCCCGAGTCCATCCCAAATAGTGGTGGTTGTGTTTCTTTGAACCAGATCTGTTGCCTCAAATCCAGCTCACTGCTACAGAAGTGCTTATCCCAGCCTGGAGCAGGGAGAAGGCTGCCATTTTGATTTGCTTCCTTTTTCTTGGTGGAAGCAATGGCTTAAATAAATGTCAACCCCCATCCTCACCAAGGGCGATGCTTTCTGGCAGGTCAGGTTGGCTGTGCTCAGCAGGCTTACTTTGCACTGTTGGGCACCCAGAAGATGCATCCACCACATCTCACAGGCACATTCCATCTTTCCAGATGTGTGGTTACCCAATGGGAGCTGGAGACTATGTGGGTTTGCTCTGCAGTGCCCTTTCTTTGGCTTAGACACCATTAACCAGGCAAACTGCTAGAGGGAACACAAGTATAATTAGTAGGTAGGAGCTGTTTCTTAGCAGTAGAACAATAAAACTCATAAAAATGATGCCCATTTCAATGGGAAGGCGTTGGCTAGAAGCCAATGTTTTGGAATGTTTTGGTTTGTTTGCAAAGCTTTCATTTGGAAAGTAAAGCTGCTGGGTGTGAGCAGGGAGCTACCACTGGGATATGGCTGAAGTGGGGAGTCAGTGCTTCTAAAAGAAGTGATTTTTTGATCTGTATCCTCATCCTTTGAGGCTAAGAAACTTAATCCAAGACAGTCTCTGTTCAGAAGCTGTGGCAGGTAAAGTTGAAATCTCTTTGCAGGATTGGAACCAATTTTGTGAAACACTGGAAGGGGAGAAAGATCCTTTTACTGGACAGGAGTGAAAACCCTGGAAATGTGAATCTTATAGTTAGATTGTCCCCAAATTTACTAGAAGAAATCTGCTGTCACTATTTCTCCTCTCCATCTTAAAACTAGGATGAACGCACACATACACCGTATTTGCTTGGTTCCTTGGGTGATGGCAGGGGTGAGGGCTGGCTGCAGTAGTGGTACCAATGTGTATCTTTTCCAGGCTGAGATACGGCATCTCTGAAAGCAGTGACCTTCTTCATATCAAAGTTGGTTGTTGTTCAGGAAAGCTGGGCTATATTTGAATATTAAAAAAAAGGCAAATGGGCTGGAAGTGGTAGTGTGGGCTTTATTGCGTAGCTACAGGTGATCATCTACATGTGCTTTACTGGGTGTGGGTGTTTCAGTGGAAACTGTCATGCAGCGTTTGAAATGAAACTGCAACAGTAGTGTCAGAGAGAGTAAAGGCATCCCAGTCTAGTTTCAGGGTATGAGCAGACTTAAACATTAAAAAGCATCTAAGATACACAGTAAAAGAAAATTTTAAAATTATTCCTAATTGATGAAGAGGTTCCCACTGCCCCGATGGGCTGTGGCATCCTGGCACTATCTTTTTTGTGCTTGTATGCATGCCTGTAGAGCACTGGAGCAGGCACCAAGGATGGTGCCTGCAATTTAAACCTAATTGCCTTCAGAGGAGCATAAAACTGCACCCAGACTACTGTTTGTAAAAAATACATTTTTGTGTGTGAATCCTAATGAAGGTTTGGGCTTTCTCTCCAATTGCAGTTTAATGTAACTGAAGCAGTCTCACAGCAGTAGGCATTAGGAAACTTCAGTGTTAATAGTTAAATCCGGTGCACTGGGATAACCTCTTTTTACAAGACTTGCAAAAACGCAGTTGAGATGGTGCTTTTATTGGAACTTCTCTTTAGCTTGGATTTTTGGTAGAAGCATCAGCGACTGAGCGGTAACACAGTGCAATCACAAAGTTACATCTGTCTGAATGGACACACGTGCTTTGCCCATTTCTGCCTGGCTCACTATAGGTCTGATCTTCCAGATTGTCATTTTTCCATGGGGAAAAAAGGAGGTTAGGTAACTCCTTATATCAGTTTTAAGGCTAGTCTTTGCTTGAAAACTTACTGATCTAGTCTACTAAGTAAAATTCCAACTGGTTTAGGTTCTTTCAAGTGTTGCTTAATCCTCAGCTATTTAAGTACTGGAGGGTTGTTGTTAAATCAGTGTTGATTGGTGGTAAAATGGATGTCCTTTACTGCTCAGTATTTCTGTAATGTTGGTTGTTTGTACTGAACGAAATTGCCCAGGCATTCAAATCACAACCCAACTCCTTCTGCCTCCTCTGGACACACACAGATTTATTTCACCGATTTATTTCGCAGAACATGCTGAGTTGGAAGGGACCCACAAGGATGATTGAGTCCAACCCTTCTTTCAACTTACTGAGTTTCTCTTCTAGAATTTGAGCTTGTAGTCTCAGTCATTGTACTTATTGTACAAAAGTGCTCTCGCTCCTTTGAAGCACTGCATGAATAGCTGGGCATTCACACTAGGCTGCCATTCACTGAAGCCTCAGTAAGTTTTGCTCACTAAAAGAGAAAAATCAAAATCTTACCGAGATAGAAGTTTTCATTCATTATAAAACCCAAAATAACAGGTTAGCTGAAATTTTAACCTAATCACAGGACTTCAAAAAGTCAAGAGGTCTAAGAGTAAGTTTTGCAAGAGCTGTAATGGCGTCCTTAGGACCAAAGCACAGTTGGGCCCCTGTTATCATCAGCATCTGCCTACACCTTTTCAAAACATTTCTAGGTTTTCTATGCCTAAATATGTCAACCCATTCCTGAAAATCTTAGCCTGAAAGTAGGATGTTTTATTTAGATAGGTAGTTCCTTGGGCTAGTAGCTCCCCACTGCTAGATATGTGCTCAGTAGCTGCCAGAGCCTTGCTCCTAAGCCAGCTTTAAGAAACGTAAATCAGAACAATCTTTTACTGTCGCAGGAATTCGTCCTTACAAATGTGAGGTTTGCAACAAAGCCTTCACCCAGCGCTGTTCCCTGGAGTCCCACCTCAAGAAGATTCACGGTGTGCAGCAGCAATATGCCTACAAACAGAGGCGAGATAAACTTTACGTGTGCGAAGACTGCGGCTACACAGGTCCCACGCAAGAGGACCTATACCTGCACGTTAGTAACGTTCATCCTGGAAGTGCTTTCCTGAAAAAAACCTCAAAAAAACTTGCAGCAGTTTTGCAAAACAAACTGAGCCCTGTCCTGCAGAGGAACTCCAAGGATGATGACAAAGATGAGTAATGCAGTGGATTACAGTGGTCTACAGGAATGAAGTTTACATGTAGGATGATATATATATATATATTATTTTTTTAAAAACAATTTTGAAAAAAGTACCTGCAATTAAAGGGATGCTTTAGTTAATGCGACTCTCTTGTTGCTGGTAGAACCTCAACTGGAAAGAAATATTCCCATTTATGATGGAAATATCAAAATTTTTTTATCTGGCCAATAAAAATGGAAAGCTTGGAAGAGGCTGTCACCTCTCAGATGGAGTATTTACTGAACTGACATTTGGGCAATCTGTCTTCCGTTTCAGCTCTACCACACATCAGCTGCCACTAAGTTCACCTTTCCCCAGTGTATTTTGTAAAGTTAATTTCTGTTACCTCCTGTACCAATTACTTTTGAGAGATTTGAGTGAAAAGTGCCAGGTAAGAACAGCTACTAGTACATTGTTCTATGCAAATTAAAGTGTCTTAAGAACAGGAGTACATTGTATTGGTAAATAAGTTAAAATGTGCAAATAACCTTAACTCTGCCCCCTGTGCAGTAGCTAACAATTTATGGAAGGGTGATCCAAGGTGAGTTGAAACTCTTCTGAAAGGATGGAGAACTTTTCCTCCCAAACTTTCTCTACTGGCAAATTACATTATTCCAGGGCAGACTTCTGGTTTTGATTTAGGTATTTTAAGCCATGAACTTACTCTTATGTTTAGATGCAAGTGGAACCTTAACTCTGATGTTCCTGGACTTGTCATGCTTTGAGGATTATTACCACATCCTTTTAACATACATCAATATCAACCCAGAAACCCAAAGAAAACTTGAAGATAAGTATTTTCTGTCATGATGAAATAGTTTTGTCTGTATTTTGTGTGTGTGTGGGAGGGATGTTTGGGGATTTTTTTTTGTTTTATAATTAAATGCTTCTTCACTAATACAACAGAGCAGTGCAATGCAGTGAAAAGGGGAACTTAGCCTGTCTCTGCTTCACGAGATCAGTGCAAAACTGCAGGCACGAATCTGGCTGCTCATCTGTATCCACTGTCAGTTTAGAAGGGTCCTAGTGAGACTGATGCTACCGGGGAAGGATATGATGATGATGAGGGACTGGTACTACCTCTCTGTGCTTTTGGATTTCTGTAGTCCCACTCCAGCTCCTATTGACCCAGGACAGTTAAGAGGGTAGCCTGTGGGGACTACTGAGTGTGAATTTAGAGATTTTTTTTTTAAAATAAAGCTGTACATTTGAGGAGGATATGCTGTATTCTGTATATGTTGAAACAACAGCTGAAATTAAGCCACCTAAAATACAGAGTCCAGCATAGCCAGGACTTTCATAGTCATTACTGCTAAAATGAGAGATTCTTAGCAATTCTGCAAGAATTTTAAAAAGCTTTTCCATTTGCTTCAGTTTTCTAAGGCATCTGCTTAGGTTTTTGTGGGGAAAAGATTCTAAGGGTTTTAAAGCATTCCTAATGATATTAACACTTTATTCAGCACAACTGTTGGTGCCTGGGACCTTGAAAGCAAGGATAATAAAGTGATGCTACTGTGTTAAGAACAAACTTGTCATTCTATGTAGCAGGAAAGTTCACAGAATAATAAATGGGAAGTTGCTGGGAAAAAAAGCATCTGAGGTAAAGTAGAAGATCCTGACTTTGCAAAAAGCTTATGCACTGATCCCCAGTTCTTTGGATATCATGCCATTACAACTGAACAGTACAAAGAGAAGGTTGCTCGCTCTGAACAAAGCTTGCTTGATGGCAAATAGTCACAAAACTGCTGGGCTAAGGAAAGCATTAACAGCTAGTTCAGCCAGTTGTGCTGGTGAGACTCCTCCATAACCTGCTCAATGAGGCCTCAGTCATGAAACTGCTGAGTTCTGCTCCAGGGCGGGACTGTTTAGGACAGTCCCTCTGAGCAAAGAGACTAGTATTCACCTAACTGCACAGGATTTGTGTGCTCAGCTCTGCTGAAACCTCAGTCCTTACACTGGTGCAGTGAAGCCAGGGCTGAAACCCTCCCTCTGCAACTAGAGACACATTTTGTGTGTGTACGTGTGTGCATGGGCTGTTTTTTAACCCCTCCTGTAGCACATACTGGTTTTGGTCTCCCTCCTGTATCACTGCCAGAGCATATCCCTGTGGAAAGAACCACATGCACATTGAGGTGGTCACAGAAAGCACTCACAGTAACAGAGAAAGGGAGAAGTTAAAAAAGTGAAAAAACCCTCTCTGGATGGAGAGCAAAGCTCTGAGAAGCTGCATGTTGTAGCTGAGGTAACTGCCCTGATTGCCTGGCAAGTTTTTCTGCAGAGGATAATGCCCTGTGCACATCAATTTAACACTCTGGCAAGTCAGTTTAAACTGATCACAAAGTGGGTTTGGGTTTGTGTGACACTGGCAATGGCCACTGCCAGTTCTGTTACAGGACAAACTAGTGCTAGCCTGTGCCACTACAGAAATGCTCCAGAGCTTACCCAGGGATGCCTGAGGCAGCCACGCTTTCAGAAGTGCCTGACACGAGTGACTTCCACCACTGCTGTCTTTAAAGGCTGTCTGCCTTCTCCTGGCTCTCTGAGGGTATAGACTCAGCCAAGACTTGATAGGTTTACAAACCAACACCGCTGGCAGCCTTCCACAGACAAGGCTTTTGTTAAACAAACAAACACAGACGAAGCCGACAGGTGCCCACGCTGCCCAGGCTCCAGACTTGTTCTTATTTGTTAGGGCGCAGGATGAGTTTGAACATTTACATGGTTCAGAGACATCTAATGGCTGTATGGCGCACTGACGGAGAAAGCAATCCCACCCAAACATTGCCCAACTGTTCCCTACTAGCCTGATCTATCAAATCTCAATCAACACAGGGATTTCGGCCCATTTTATCACCTCCTGCTACTGCCGAGGGATCTTATATCTTGCTTACACCCACCCTCTTTGTATCCATGGAGCTATCCTTCACAGAAAACTGGCAGTGTTCACTGACACTGAACCATCCACTTGCTAAAATTCTGTGATGTGGGAAGACACTTGTAAAACAGGTAGAACTTCTGAGAGCTTGTGCTGTGTCTTCCTGGTTAGTCATCTCTGAACCCAGTTTTTCCATCCCCATGGTTTGACTTTTTAGATAGAAATCTAATTAAGCACAGAGTAATCATAACATCACTAGACCAGGTTTGAATAAGTAAGTACCACTATAACTAAGTTTCATTGACACATTTCCCTGGATCAGTAGTATGGAGGAGCACCAGATAGCTATAGCTATTTAAGTTTCTTCAGCAGCAAGCCTGTCCATTTTTTTTTTAGGTATCATTCTGGCTGATTTTTTTTTAAGCTTATGGGTTGGTCATATTTTTATTTGTAATCTGCAGTGGTATTGTGAAAACTCATACATACAATTTGGATAAAACAATGAGAATGAGGGAAAAAGCTTTCCAGGTGTGCAACACACAAAGCAATACTGCCTGACATCATCAAGGCTTACTCTATGTCTTACAGACTTGATTTTATAAGCTTAAAAATTTACTTCTGTTTCAAAACATTTATTCAGAAACTTATTTGAAAAAAAAAACAACAAAACAACAAACACAAACCCACAAAAAAACTACCCCCCCAAAACCAACCAGCAGCTCTTTATCCCTCAGAATGCTTGGCTTCACAGCCACAAGCCTGCTTTTATACAAAAACTCACCTGCACTGGCGTACACACTCACTTGACACGGGAGATCCTTCCACGTGGGTAGGCTCATTGTCGGCTCAGACCCACACCAAGTCAGGAGAGCTCAAGGCAGTTGCAGCCTCGGCCTGCACAGAGCTCACAAGCCTAAGTACAGAGCCCATTTCTCAGTGCTCTTCTGTGGGCTGCACAGGCTGTGCGTTAAGAAACCTGCAGGAGGAGGCACTATGAGTAGCCAAACTCCCCACTTTTCAGAAAACTTGCTGAAAAATTTCTAAGAGTATTGTTTACAATTCTGCTCCTCTCTTACTGAGCCACTTGTGTTAAATTATCACTTTGCTGTAGTATCTTAAACAAGACTTAATGAGAACTTTCATTATAATTCTTAGCACAGGTCTTCCAGTTGTTGTTGTAAGAAAATCCACAAATAGTAACAAGCCTGTTAATAGAGACCTTTGACATAAGCAAGAACTAAACTGACTGAAACCCAGTCTACTATATCAATTTCTTTATCATTTGCATTTCCCTCAGCTCAGACAATGCAGATGTTCTTTTGCTTTAGTTCACCAACACTTTTCAAAGTCTTAGTTCTGCAACAATTTTTTTCTCAAAAATTACCAAAGAAGGATGACTTCATTGAACAGTTTTACTTGATAATAAAAACTTTTCTATAAACCTTAGGTTGTATAAACTGGGGGGGGGGGGGGGAAACACAGGCTAAAGAAGTTGACTTTGTCCTGCACGGACCATTGAAGTCACCTACAATATAAGCAAATACATATTCTCCATTAAAAATTCACATGTGGATTTTTTTTGGTTTTTGGTTTTCTTTACTGTGGAAAAAATACCCCTGATAGTAAGAAATTAGCCAAAGTTATTAAAAAAAGAATAAAAGTGGTATACATAAACAAAAGAGTCTTGTTTTGTCTCTGTGCTCAGAGCACTTGCTGCTTCTTCATTTCTTCTCAGTTTCTGTCCATGTACTCTTCAAGGCGCAAAAGCCACTTATTCCAGTACTGCGAGCACAGATCAGGATCCATGAAATGTGGATGCGCAGGGGAGCCATTCTTATAGGCAACCACGATGAGTCCACAGTGAACCTACATTCAAAAACAGAGCGCTGTCAGAAATTCAACATTCAGATAAAATTCTAAGAACTAAACCTAACTACAAAACATAACAACACATACATATGTTTCTTAAATAAGAAATGGGGAATAAAAAAGGGCAATAATTCACCATAAAATACTTGGAGACTAACAGTCAAATGCTCCAAAAACCCAGAGACCAAAGCTCTGACCAGAGGACATGAACTTTGGTTATATAGCCCCAGGCAAAACCTCATCAGTCACTGGGGATTTTACCACCATCTACAAGGTTTAAATATCACTCATAGTCAGACTGATGCAGCCTCCAGCATCAGTCTGAATGGAAACAGGTACTTAGGTTTGTTCAGACATTCTTCATACCTGACAAATCCAAAATCCCAAATCAATCCCAAACAGCCAGTGCTAGTGGGGGGGCAGGAGGCTAATAGTAGAATTCCAGAATTACTACCCACATTTCCCTCTGTAAGGATGATGTCTGTTAATTGCTTGTGTTTACTGACCTCTACACTATTCTAAAAAGTCTTTTGCACAACCTATGAATTAACCTGCTCTCTTCTGCTTCATATTTTCCCCCTTCAATGTTTGTATTGAACTAAAATTCCTTCAGGCCAAGCAGGCTAGAATTGCATTTGGAGTCTTTAAAAACATTATTCCACTGTCTTCTGATTAAGTGATTCACAACACACTGCTCTCCCCAGATGAAACACAGTACAGCTTCCAAAGACCAAATCTATCATTTAGTCCCTCATTTGTTAGTGTGATATAGCAACACATGATGCAAGCAAGGCCCTCCCACACAATTTTCCTGTTTGCAGGCTCTTTTGCTTTATTACTTCTGCCCCTTCCTACTCTTGACACAAGTAAAAACCACACAGAACAAAGCACAGGGGACTGCCCACATGCCAAGTCACTGTGAGTTCATCTGACCTCTTAAGACCCTGAGCTTCCCTTGGTCCCACCGAGCAGGTCCTTAAAATCACTGAAAATATACTGCCAACAGCCAAAGGCAGCAGGATTAGCAGGAGTAGCTGAATTATTTCACAGTATGTCAGCTTAACCTGATCTAAGACTGGGCTCCTTTGTCACAAATCCTACCAACAATTCCATGATGGACAGCAGGTTCTAAAGGCAGTAGGCAGGGAGAAATGAAGATGACGTCGGTGCTGCTACTTGTCTTGGGAGGTATCAGGCCTACTGACCTGGAAGTCATAGTTGGCATCATGATTTATGGCTCCAATATATGCTGCAACCTGTAATGGGTTGTCATAAGTATTCTTCAGAAATGGCTTTGGTTTCTCTGAAGTTTTCCAGTCAATCACACACAATTGGCCTCTGCATAAGAGAACAAGATAGGACAATGTTTTAAACTTAAGTAGTCACAAGTAAGAAATGTGGGATGAGACAGCACATAAAGACCTATCACACTCACCCTGTTTCACCCTGATGTCATGTTGCTCATTCTTATGTCTAAATATTTCTCTTCACACTGGCAGTTTAGATCTCAAAAACTAACACTTACTAATACCTGCTGCAGTTCCTGGCAAATGCTGACAATTAACCCTGTCCCACTCACACCCTGCTCCAGTAAGGAACTCTCCATAAGAAAAAAACCAGCACTTCTGGCACCAGGTTCATCCAGGGGAGTTAATCTGCTTTGCTGGTCCTGGAGATCTGCCCAGCTTCCCCCCAGCCACTCAACAACATACCAGCTGCAGCCCAGGACATGGCTTCCCATACACCACAGACATTACAGGTGCCTTAGGGTAGAGGAACCTCACCGATACTTCGCCACGCAGTCTACCAGGCCCAGATAATGAAGGGCCTCGTGATGAACTCCACTTTCCAGAGCTTTCACTTCACTGATATCTTCTAAGACATGTTCCACACTTGATAAGTAACCAGAAATAACACCATCTTCGCCCTTCTCCTTAACTGCCATCTCTTCAGACAGGAATATAGATTCCAAAGCTGAATGAAAGAGCTCTCCTTGGAGGAAAAGATCTGAGAAAAATAGGAAAAAACACATTTTAGACACTACTTTAGATTCATATTCTACATATTTATACAATGTAGCTCTTAAATCAGTCCTGTTTTTTGTACTGAAAGCTGGAGGATGTGGGGAGAAGGAAGACAGAAAATAAATTGTCAACAGTGAAATTAGTATCTCATATTAATATTACTTTACTTTACTTTTTTAGTCTCACTAATTACTCAGAAACAAAATACGAGTTTTAATTTATTGTATACAAAAGCATTTGTGAGTTTCTAGGAATTAAAAACATTATTCTTGGCTGCTTTTGCTGCACTTACTTATTCTGCTGTATCAGTTCATTTGAATGGAACTGATCGCATGAAACGAATGGGCACAGTTCTAGGAGTAAGGGCTTATCTCAGAAATGATTCCAAGAAAGATAAATTTTCAACTGTTATATAAGGTTTGTTATGCCACCTTATCCATTGACGTGCTTAGTAATTAAAAAAGCATAATCACAGGATATTAGGTTTAAAAAGCAAAAAGCATAATAATTCATGTAAGGAGCGCTTGGGTATTTATCGACCTCGCTACTTACTATCCCCTAGGTCCTCCCAGATCTCTTTCAGTCCTGCAGCTTGGAGGAAATCACCTTTCTATGTCTTATGAAATGAAAACCTCTAAATGCATGGCAATTTCATGGAAGAGGCTGCACACACTGGATAAACTAAACAGGTACTGAAAAACTTCACCATAAATAGCAGGATATATTGGTTTTTAAACACTCAAGATATGATTTCAAAATGCCTATTTCCATCTTGTTACAAAGTAGCTTTGTATCTGCAAAGAGGCTCAGTAACATCAGCTGGAAAATATCTGCTTGTAAATAGGTATTGGCAAATAGAGAAACAGAGGCAGACAGGATTGAATAACGGATGTCTACAGTCTAATACGCATTTCCCACAGATTTCTAAATCCATTTTAATGGTTCTAGAACAAAGATCAGAGCTTAGGCTCATTGATAACAGGTACACTCACAACATGCTCTCATGAAATGGAAACAACTTAAAGAATTTCCAAAATGCTTGACCTGTAGGGCCCGATACTGCCACTATGTTAGAATATACCTGCCAGTTAAATTCTACTGCTTCTACTTTGCAATGGCACTGTGGTTAAACTTACTTTTGGTATACTTTTCAAAACCATCTTTTCCAAGTTCCACTATCATTTTCTGCTTCCATCTTTCTAGATAAAAGACTTGCTGTGGAGAGAGAGTTTGTTGAAGAATATGGGTAACACTGGGCATTTTCGTTTTTTGTAACATGATTTTCCTGGGGAGGTTTGAATCACTGTTGAGAGGGGAAATTCTCTTGTTGGGGTTTATTAAAGGAACCCAGTTCTTGGGAGTCTTTGTCCCAGCTTTAGCTGGAGGTCTGTGTTTATCCAGTGGCCCATATAACAAATTGTCTTCTTCAAATATTGTCTCTGGTGTTTGGGTGCTGGTTTTGTAAGATGTAACAGAGTAGACCAAGTTTTTGTACTTTTCTTGATCAACTTGTTCATAACTGTTTGCTTTTTTCTTTTTACTATAAATACATGCAGAAGTAGACAGACATGAATATGGGAATTGCTTTTGACAAAATGGTATTTGAAAAAGCATTTCCAGTTTCCCCGGTTTCCTGGACAGTATCTGTAGGAATTGCATTCTGACAAGAAGTGTTTGTGAATGGTTAGAGTTTTCTTTCTTCTGTTAGGAACATCTGGAGGTTACAATATTTTCCTCCTGTAGAAAAAGACATATGTGATTTCCAGAATCATAAAACTTTACCACCATCTTATTTTTGCCCTTGGCCAAACAAAGAATTGCTACAGTCAAAGTGTCCTCATATACTTCATGCCACCAAAACATCTTCAGATAAATAAGAGAAAGAACCAATAAGCAATGAAAAGAGGAAACAGTCCTGAAAAGAACAGGTGCTGGTCTGCAAAATCTGAAACGGGGCAAGCACATAAGGATGTTGCAAGTAGCAAAAGCTGCAGCAGAGTACATTCCTACAGGAACCGTATCATAACTGCCATGACAGTAAATACAAAAACCAGATCTGCCACAAACAACCCCTCAAAAGAGGGAGAGTGAAATTAAAAAAAAAGCTACACAGAAGAGAATGAAGCAAACCTATTGCTATGAGGTTTAAAAACTTTTAAGTTTATAGTGAATGCCCAGCTTAAGGGGACTGTGGGGACAAGGTACCTTATGGAGAATAAAACCATGTTTTTCTTTTGTAGGAGAAAGCAGACAGCAGCAGTACATACAATTGTGAGACCTGAGACTAAGAAAGCCAAAAGAGAAACCATATGTACTTCAAATATCTTCAGACTCAAAGAAATCTTTCAAAGTTCAGAATAAAATACAAAAGTATTTTTCTAAAGTGAGTTTCAAACATAGTTGTGTTTTGAGACACTTAGGAAATTTAAAGGCAAGAACAGTATACCAGCAATACTGTACTGCATGGTAACTGCAGTGCTAAGTCCTAGGAAAGTTTTTGCACATGGATAAAATATAACACCTGCAAAGTGGCATTTTACTCAACATTAAATATATGCAGAATTGAGGCCCTACTCTCCTACTGAAAGTTATCTGCTTACCATTAGAAAGTTCCCTCCACCCACTGCAAAGAAAGAATCTGCCAGCTACCATCAGCATTCTGTTCCAGACAATACTTTCATATTATTCTTTACCTTCCCCACACTCCTTAAACAGCACTTCACACACTGCCCGAGCTGTGCATGCCACAGGAAACAAAAATGTACTATGGGGAGTTATTTTGTATGGACAGATCCCATGCTCATGCACAACTGCTGTGGGGGTGCAGGCATCTGTCACACAGAACAGTTTCCAAAAATGGGTTTGTACTGGCTGCAGCTGATTAGATCAAAGCATCTCATAGCAAGAGGCTGAGACCTTGGACTTGGGTTCCATAAATATTGTTGTTCATCTGTAAAGGACAAAACCATCCAGCTGTACAAATTTAATCAGGAGTAGGCAGATACACTGCTCTTTTTCTTCACTGGCTTTACATTTTCACACTGACTTTGTATGATCTAGGCAAATCAAAACTGTTCTGTAACCTGATGGCATGCAACCTGATACAAAAGTAACCTCTCAAAAGCAAATCCAAACCAGGAAAACACAATAAGAACTTTGTCTCACGTAGCCCTAGCATTTGTGACCCAGTACCAGGTGCCCTGCAGCCAAATTTGCCATCCTGTTGTCAAACGGTCTCACTCAGTCTTTAGTAAGGGCTTCCTGTAATTACGATGCATATCAATCAAAACAGTTAATGATTTTAAAACTGCGTCAAGGTCCATAAGAGAATAATAGAGGAAAATAATGAAAGTACCAACTAGTTAGTTCTGCTACTGATTTTTTACAGTCTGATTAGGCATAAAGCAAGCCACCTCACAAGGGAAACCTTACCAGTTAAGATACTTTGAATATGTCACTTCCCTTTTTTAATAACTACATTATATTTAATATCAAAGAAATTCTAAAACTGCTTTCCTTATCCAGCAGAACTGGGCTGGGTGGAGTTGTACTTGTTCTCTCATTTTTCAATATTCAACAGCAAGAATGGATATGATCACCTGAGCATCCTCTGACCTTCAGATTCCTGTAAAAACTACTCTCCTGCCTGCACAACAGAAAAGCATAGTTAGGTGCACTATGAAAGGACAAACCAAACAAAACCATTTTATTGCCACAAAAGTATGCAAGTTCTGCCAAAAAATAGAACCACCTGCTTTAGACAGTTTACATAGCAGCAAGAAATTGGACTGTGTGTTTTGTAACTGAAGTCCTGCCCTGCTTCATTTTATGGACATGTGAGGAAGTTTTACAAATTTTTGTGAAACGTAACCAAATGTTATGTTTCCTGTAATTTCTTAAATGATGTCATAAGCTGTTTCTACAGCTCAGCTTGCTAGAAATTTGTAACAGCATAAAGGGGTAGTTTTTACATTATACATGTCTCAATTCTTCAGTTCACCCTGGCTTTTCAGTCAGTGAATTCTGTGTGTCTTCACTATTACTGCCAATTGATTCAATAAATATAAGAAGCTCCCCATGTTTTGTCATTTCAATATCATGAAGCAGCTCTCTTCTGCAAACCTGCTACACCAGGATTTGCAGCAACTCATTCTTCTCAGAGACTATCACATTTTTAATAGATTTTTCAGTGTTGGAATGGGATTGGTTACCTGGCAGAATGTGCCGTTTGCTAAAAAAAGAAATAATGAATGAAGGTATCACATTTCAACAGGTGTCAGTTTGCTGTAGGAGGTAACAAAAAACAGTAGAAGCAGCAAAGAGATACATAAAGGTGAGGCTTTAATACTGTAAGAATATTGCTTCACTGTATTTTTTAATCATAAAAAGCAGTGCAAAAAAATTAATCTCTCCTCTCCGGAGATTTACCTCTAAGTAAAGCTGTGATTTAAAATAAACCAGGAAAAATATACTCTTTTTCCAATGTAATAGTGTCCAAGCTTGTAGTTTCTTGGGCTATTGTTTGAAGACCATTAACATGTGCATTAATGGTCATTGTGTATGTGCATTAATCAGAACAGAACACATGTTGGGCCAATGACTGTGTATTTGTTACATCAGCCACAGCACAAAAGAAAAACTTTATTCTGGCTTTTTGTCAGCTGCAGGAAGCAAGATGATACCTGATTTAGCATAAAGTTCATTTGCAGTAAGCTGCCCCCTCAACATTTTTTAAGGAATAAATTTATACCAGCTCAGTGTTCTGAACCATGGGGCTATTGAAATATGGAATATTATGACCTCTACAGCTAATTAACTGCAACACTGCTGCAGTGCCTCAGTGATTAGTACAAACTTTGATTTAACAGCATATATTACACTGGAGTAATACCTGTGGAAGTGTTTGTGCACTCTATGAACTGAACCACCAGGAGAGTCTGTCCGCTGCTGTCCTGTTTTAGAAAAAGAAAGAGGTTCTAGGATTGCTAAGAAATAAGGAACACTTGTGTCCAGCTAAATAAAAAATCATGTGCTTTTCAATAAACCACAGTGGCATTTCTGTGCAAATAACTTACATTTACAAGAAAGAAATGGAGTTGGAGTGGTTTGGATCTACTCTCGCCCCTGAAGAACAGAATTTAATTGATATTTCCCTCTGGGGAAGTGTCTCCCTTCTCTCTGAAAGGGTTTGTGGTTGAAGCCTGGCAGAATTACTTCAAGTGTTGCATGATGAGCCACACTGGAGGAAAGAAAAGAGGAAAAAAAAAGCAGGACTTAACTTTCCCAAGCAAGTTGAGTTTGCAGCTCCAACAATAACTGAGCTAACAAAACTGAGGAAATTTTTTCCCGGATAGGAATGAGTGGCTTAACAGAAGAAAATAAAAAAGATTACTTAAGAAAAATTTCACATCTATAAAAACCTACCTCTAATTATGGTTTCAGAAAATAACCACCATGGCTTTTTCTCCACAGCCACCTGTCCAGCAAACAAAAGTACTAGCTTACTTCAGACATAATAAGAAAGAGCCCCACTAAACGCAGCTACAGATCTGTTGCCCTGTGTCCCTAACTCCAGGAGAACAAATGCACTGATGAAAGTATAACTTTAACATCGCAGGCTTTTCTCTTGAAGAAGTATTACTAAGTCATGTAGAAAGGCAGCAGTACCCTACATTCTCTTTCTCTTTTTTTCTGGCTACAACTTAATAAGGCAGGGCTTTGACAGCTGTATCACTTTTAGAACCTTACACGCTTGCCCAGTTCCTGCCCCCAACCTCTCCTCCTTGGTTCCCTGCAGTTCGTAAACTAAGTTATTGAACCTATCCAGGTTAAAAATACACCTCCCTCTTTTGGGACGTTTAAAGCACGGAGAGAGAAAATTTAGCAACCCAGTTTAAAGCACAAGCCCACAGAGCTACCCTGAAAAAAGTTCAAGCTTCATTCCCCGCTCAGCATTGGGAATGGAATTAGTGGGAAACAGGGCTGTAACACGACGTCAGCGTTTTTGGCGATCTGTGAGAGCTGGGCTAACACCGGTGACCACCAAGTACTCTCTAGTAGACAGACAACGTTTCTACATGGGCACCAGGCGTCCGGAAACGCGACAGGGCCGGATAGCCCACTCTTGTGCAGGGCTTCTTCTCTCTGGACAAGAATTCCCGCTGAACGCGGGCATACCCACCTAGCCACGGCAGCCCGGCCATGCGGGCCCCTCGGTGACAGACCCGGAGGCAGGGCGAGCAGGGTTCACCCGCCAGGGGTGCAGGGTGGGCCCGGCTCGCCTTCCTTTTACTCGCTCTCATGACCCCCCGGCCCAGCCCCAAGGCGCTCACGACCCACGGCCCCGCGTTACCTCAGACACACTTCCCGCCACCGCCGCGGGAAGCAGCACGCAGGCGCGCTCCGCCCGACGCCGCCGCCGCGCTCACGGCGCACTGCGCCGCCCTCCGCCTCATGGGAATTGTAGTTCTCCTGCGCCCCCGGCCCCTTCCCTTTCTCTGGAGCACCTCGAAAACTGCGAGAGAGGCATGCCTGCTCTGTCTCGCTCTCTTTGGGTGTTATTTGAAAGGCTCTGAGGAAAACAACCCAGATCTCTAAATGCAAGGAAAAAATATAGCGTTTTGCCGCCATCTTGGATGAAGGCAAGCAGCACCCTGCCCTCACCCCAGATGGCGGCCGCCCCGCGGGGGGTGTGGCGGCGGCGGCGGGAGGCGGTGGCGGCTCCGCCTCGGGGTATATGACGAAGCGGCGGCGGGGAGGAGGACGGGCAGTGCTTGTTCGTGATCGGAGACATGGCTCTGCACGGCGGGGACGCGCAGGACAAGGTAGGCGGCCCGGCTGGGGCAGGCGGCGGGGGCGCAGCCGGGCTGGCCCCGCGGGGTGAGAGGGAGCTCCCCGCTCCCTTTGCCCCCGACAGCGCTGGGACAGTGACAGGTTTTTATTTCTGCTCCGTTTAGAGTTTGTTTTTTAAATATTAGTTACCTTAGTCGCACTAAGCTCTCCTGAGGGCAGGTGGTCAGGGTGCCCCGGGTGAACGTGGGGTGTAGCTCCTGCAGGAAGAGGCCCAGGGGAGATAAGGGGGTGGGGCAGGCTTAAAGCCGGAGTGGGAAGGAGGAGGATGGAGGGAAGGGTTGTGCAGCTGCCGTGAGGCGGTGCGGGCTGCACTCCTGGGCTGTGGCAGGAGCAGGATGACAGCCAGGGCCCTGGAGCTGCAGGAACGGGGCCTGGCAAGGAATACAGGAGCAGGACCTGCTCATGAGGACCTGTCTCTGGGCACTAGCGGCGAAGTGCTGTAGGCAATTGTGCTGCCGAGGGTTCAACTTGCTCTTTCTCAATGGGTCAGCTACCTAGTGTGTCTGTGACCAGCCTTCCTGGTTATGTGCTCTAGGTCAGCTGTCACATCAGCTGCGGTGCCTCTTTCCCTTGGCTGTCACATCAGCAACTTAGTTTTCCTTTCTGTGTAGTAGTGTTCGAACCTTTAAGTGCCAAGGAGCCTTTAAAGCAGTGTGGGGTGTTACCTAATGTTCTAAGACTCTCAGCTTCTCAGAGGAAATACAAGTTAAATGCTAAAACAGAAACTTTGTGAATTAATGTGTATGTAATGTAGACAGTGATTGAAATTATTTCTCCTACTGGACAAGCTACCTGGCTTAATCTACCTAAACTACCTGATTTAATAACTATCCTCAACACACCTTGAATAGAAGGTAAGGCAGCCCTGTAACAGTCAGTGAATTGCCTATTTGCCTTTCATGTTGTTGTATCTTAATGTAGTTTTGCATTGTGATTAAGCTTAATTCACTTTCAGGAAGATGACTTTGTTTCAGACTGTTAGGTGTGCTTAAGTCTCTTCGGTCTGTGTTTTCTCCAGCTTGTTGGAACATATATATTAGCTGACTTGAGGGTTAGAAATACACCAGGCTTGTTTATCAGTTTAGTAACTTCCTATAGATACTTTCTTTTCACGTCTTTCCCTTCCATATGAATCTCACTTTGAAACAATCCTGACACAGTAGAACAGGCAAAAGTTTATAGAGCAAGTATTTTCTAGTAGTTTGCTGTGAGCTGGCCAGTGCTTTAACTGTTTTCTGCTGCATGTGAAACTATTTGTATTAAAATGTCTGCACTTTGAGAATAGTGAGTGTGAGTCTTTATAGTCTTGTAAGATCTGCAGGTGATGGGGTGGAGGGGAAGGTCAAATATCAACTCTCTTGCAGCAACTGGTAACTTTTGAGTGTTTATGTGCCTTTTTAACTTAGCAGGCAGGAATATTGGGGGAGGGGAAAATGTTCCCATGGTGAGGGTTGGAGTAGCTTTAAACTCTGATGTTCAATGAACATATATTAACTAGTTTCTTTCAGGTTTTAGGGCTGTCTTGGGATTCTAGCAGCACGGGGGAGGATAGAAATACTCCTGTCCTGTCTGTTCCTGTTCAGGTAAAGAAACAGGAACAGGGAACTGGTATGTGGCCAGTAGATAAAGCCTGTGCCTGTAAAGAAAGCTTCGTTAGGTATTAACCTTGAATAGGAACCACTGGTAAGTATAAACTAAAAACTGACCCTGAGGTGGCAAAGCAGCAGAGGATCAGGATATGTAGGAAGAGAAAGGCAGGGTAGGATAAGGGTGATTGGAAGTGCGGTGGGAAAGAAGGTGTAATCTGTCATGGGGGAGGAAAAGGCACTTCAGAATGTGAAACAAGTAGTGGGACTGCCAAGATAAGCTTGAGTAAATACCCTGGTATTTCCTAACATTGGTGGCTTGATAGTATTTTAAGGCTTCGGTCTGCAGTTAAAATGTTCTAGATCAAAATACTGAGAGCAAGTATTGTAAGCCCTCCTTCTCAAAGCAGTCAGTGAAGACAAAATGTTGTGTCATAGCCTGAGACTTGCTGTTATAACTCACAAAAATGGTGATTCTCTGTGCTGAACAAATTCTGCTACATAGTCTGAAGGAATAAGGGCATACTAGGTCTTGCCTATGCTTAGCAAAACAACTGCTTCTGCATGCTGCTGGGCCCAAAATCAAATAGGGAAATTAACTGCTAGCAAGGTGAAAGTTACTGGATAAGGATAATGTACTGTCAAAGACATACAGCCTCCGTGAAGCTGGCCCAGCGGTTTGGGCTAATGACACAAGTTCAAGTCCGTGGAAGGTGAAGCCAGTGTGGTGAGGCAGTATTTCTGAGGCTCCTGAAGGCCAGCTCTGGCCTCACTGCTGGAGCGCAGCAAAACAATCTTGTGGATGCTGACTGTGGCTTAGGAGTTTGCTGCCTTTGCACCATTTCCATTTTAGTCTAGTGTGCTTTGTGTTACAGATGGCATATGGGCTAAGAGTGCTCAGCCACAGGCCATGCTCTACAGGCACACTACTGCAGCAGGGTGGATTTGGCCTGCATGGCCAAAGCTGTTGCTTGAACCCTCAAGCTGAGGAATCAGTGTGTTGGGTGGAGGTGTCCTACGTGCTGCTGGGTGGATCAGGGTGAGCTAGTAAGGCTTTTGCTTGGAATATGTGGTCCTTGAAGTTTTATTAACATTACTCCCTTTGTGCTCTTCCTTCTGTAAGGAGGTGTATGACCATTTGGTTTCTGTAGAGAGTGAGGCAGGGATCCTGCTGACAGAAGAGCTAAGTGATCAGGCACAGCCTGATTATTGCACAGCCAGAGGCAACAGGTGCTCTGCCTGCAGAGGCTGCCTTCTGCTTACTTGACAAGCATTGTACTTGGTGAGGAATGCCATTTCAGTGTGACTAAATTGAACTGTTGTTCCCCATTTATTGGTGCTTTAAGCAAAATAATGAAAACCTTTCTGTTACTGGAGTTCTGCAGTCCAAAGTCACAATGTGGAAAAGCATTTTTTATAGCATAAGTAGCAACATGAAGACTGGTTCAATTTTTCCTGGCTGTTTGCAACCCAGACTACTTCAGGACTGTTCAGCTCAATGTCAGAGATAAGAGCAAGCCTGTCATGAAGGCTGCAAAATCAAAACTTCACATACACTGTGAAGTGTTGTGTTGGCTCTTTACACTGCATGTGTGCAGATGTCTTTTTAGTATCTTGACTGAAAGGAAACTTGAGGTACGTGTGCTGAATATGACTGAAATGTAGTTCCAGCAACTGATGCTGCTAATATCTGCTGGCCAGATACTCTGCAAGTCTGCTGGTTAACTCCTGCGTGTTGAAAAAGGCCCTCTGGAACTGATTGCTCTGTATAAACTGCCAGAAAACATCATGATCTCTTAGTGCTCTCTGGAGAGCACTTAAACTCGATTAATTAAAAAGACTGTTCTGTAAAAAGTAATGAATTCTGGGTAGTGGCAGATGTAATTACTACTGAAGTCTTGTTTGTGGGCTATTGCTTGAATGATAGCAGGAGGTGATCAGTAAGGGGAGAGGGTTTTTGTAAGCTATCTGACAAGCAGAAAGCTCTGACGTGGGAGCCCTTGTGGAAGGGTTCCTTGCTCTTTCCAAGAGCCTGGCTATGTGGAAAATCCCTGGGTTCACCTGTCTTTGAGAACAAACACATATTCTTATTTCACTAACAGTCAGATGTTGTACACAGTTGCTTGCAGCGGCAGATTCTTTTGTTAGAATGCAGAAGTAACATCGAGTCATCCAGAGCTAAAACTGCATCCATGCTAAAACTGCAAAGGGTGTAATTTGAAAAGCAGCAGTTCAGGCCACTCAACAGAACTAAGTGGCTTCAGTGGCTGAGGGCATTTCCTTCCAGGGATGCCTGCAGGCATCAAGATGTGTTTGCATTTGGGTGAGGCCTGATCAGAAACTAAATGTCTGTCAAGTAGAAACCTGGGTAGCTGATGATCCTCTCTGAGTTGTACTTAAATGATGCAAGTCTTTTTTGTTTGGTTGGTTTTGGGGGGTTGTTTGTTTTTTGGTTGGGTTTTTGTGTGGTTTTATTTGTTTGGGCGTTGGGTTTTTTTGTTTTGTTTTGTTTCCCCCTCCCTAGCATCTCTAACCAATAGAAAAAAAGTAAGTGCTTTAAAACTCTCTCTGGATTGGGCAAGTAATGCTCTCTGCTGTTTCCTGGACTTCTAGATCACATGTTGATCCCTATGTCCTAATTAGTACCATAATATCTAGATTTAGTCTTCTGGTCCTGAAACCTAGAAATGTTAATAATCAGTATGGTGACTGTATGTTCTTCTGGAGGGCTCTGCTTGATGTCTTGTTTTAATTTCCAGGTTAGACAGTTGTGGTGGACAGTATCTGTACTGAACATGGAAAGTTTTTCTTGAATCCTCAAGAAAGCCCAGGGATCCTGAAACAGGTTGCTAACAAGACTGAGCCTAGTAGTGGGAGATGTTGACTTCTGTAGTCACTACAAACCAGAAGTGGTTTCTGAGAAAGCGAAATGAAAGTGGGAATACTGTGCTGGGTTTGGGTGAATGTTTGTTTGCAGTCCAGCACAGCTGTTTC